TCAGCTGAAGGACAGAGGGATGCTGTATGAAGGAAATAAAAGGGGATACAAACTGAGGAGGCCTTGGTGGGCGACTGGATGAGGCCTCCAGTGAAGAAAACGACCCCTGGATGAGATGAGGAGATGCTGAGATGAGCCAAAGCTACGAATGATTCGAAGGGAAAAGTTACAGATGGCGAAGGTATCAAGGGCTCGGGCGCGTGGTGGCCGAGGCTGAGGAGGAATTAGCGCTTCGGCGCGCCAAAAGGGGGTTCTCTGGACGGTTGGGCTTGACATGATTCAACACATGGGTGAAGTCTGAGGTGGTCCGGTCATTTAGGTGGGACGAGGTAGATGTACTTAATGGTAGTTAACCTGATCCAGCCCGGCCCCACCCGTGCTTAAGCTCCAGTAGGAGTGCAACGGGAATCACTTTACCTAGGACGTAAATGAACGAGACAAGACAGAGCCTAAGCCGCAGCATGGACGAGTGTGGCGCCATCTAGGCATAGAAAACCCCCAATAACCTCCTTGCGCCCACGTCATACAGCCACTCATGTCTCCAAAAGGTAGCCTAAATTGCTACCATATTACCTATTCCAACCTCTTTAATGCACACGAGATCGTGTTGGGAACCTAGACGAAATGGAGGGCCCGTACGTCCACAACACTCTGTGTCTCCATTTCCAACATATAGCCTGAGCGAAAATAGCCACACTTTAAATCGAAGCCGAGACACTAGCGAGTGGAAAAAATCTGCAGCAACGAAAGGGTGAGGCGCAGACAAAAAGAAGCGGACAAGATAGCAGCATTCCAGGAGTGGGAAAGGGCATGGAAGCTTTTTAAGGAAGAGCAACTACCTTCTCATCAGGCGATGGCAGACCCAGAGCATTGGAAAGTAGCAAGTATCATCACCGACAAGAGAACAAGCAGAAAAATAATCACCCACAGAAACACACCCTCTAACATCCACCGAAACCTGAGCAGGGCCCAAAGCAGTATTGCAATATAGATTTAAAGTGAGCAAATTAGCCTCAACTCTTATCTATATAGAAGAAAGGTCTCTCGAGTGGCAAATCCAAAGTACCAGTGTGGATTTCCGTCATAAACTGTGAAACATATGGTCTTGACTTTTCCTTAGTGGGCTAAGGTGTGACGGAAACCGAATTGGTTGTGAATAAATCGATTTACTAAACTATATGAGGAGAAAAGAGAACTCTAGCTACGACTAACAGGTATTTATAAGAATTGGTCCCCTTCGTCAATCTCCAGACTGATGACTTATCCTTAGGCACAATACTTGCTACCCAGCCACGCATTGCCAGGTGTTACTTAGTTGTAGTAACGCTTCGACCTCCTGACTAGTAGTGCCGCCTAGTTGTAAATATTCCCAACAATCCGCTTAGGTATTCACCTAAGCTCTAGTAGCGGTCAAACCGTAACATAAGGGAAGAGGTGAGGTGCTGCAACGGGCAAAAGATAAGTCTTTCGAAGCTGTGATGAACAGCCTGGATGATATGAAGAGAATTACAGAGTGAATACATAGTAACGGTTGGCTTGAACAGTTTCGGCTTGCAGAAGCAGTTGAGGAAGCGGTCAATCAAAAGATGGCGCGATCAGGAAAAGGATAGGACGGAATTCACACTGAATAAACAGTGTAAACGCACTTCCTGTAGGAAACCTCAGAAAATCCAATAGACATGAGACAGATAGTTTTGGGGGCCTTTTACCGAATTATTTTCCTCCCTTGTAAATAATAAAGCTAGATATACTTGCAAGGGCCCATGGGGTACTTGAATGAGCTAAATAAAATCAAATAACATTAAAAATAATGCTCTAGGGTTTGGAAACAGTTATGGCTGGATAAAACAATTATAACGCACAAAACAAAAGGCTTTCACTTTCCCGATCCTTTGAAGGTTCTTGACGTAGATAAAAGTTTGAATCGTCTCCTTTCTAGAGCACCGGCCTGAAAATAATGTAACAGTATCTAATGAGCTCGTGGAACCTCCATGGATTGAATGCTGACGAGGTATACAATTGCGCACCACGCCTTTGAAGAGGTGGCTAAGTCGAGACCAGGGGCTGATCATATTTTATTTTTGCATCAGATTTTAATTGCGTATGCAGCTATCTAGCTATGACACAATATCAAAGAAAAGTACAGAAAAGATGACTCAATTTACAAGAGGAGCACTCATGACTCGTATTTCATTTGCAAGTACCACTGCAAAGTTATGGTGGCTTTTTCTTCACCCCAAGTCAACCCTCATCCGTGAATACCCACCCAGGGGAACGTCTCAAAAACCCTGAGTTATCCAGACATGCCTCCATCATCCATATACTAATCTCCGCGTGAATTATAATCTGATATGTCTCCTTCCCAAGTGGAGTAGGTGCCCAGGCTACTCAAACTATACCAGAGAACACCACCAGGAGGCGGACCACAAGACCTTCCATCGTTGGCTTGTGTTTATAGTGTCAGCTGCACCCTCGCAAGCGAAGTCTTGGCGCGCACAAAGCTCAATTCGTAAAACTCTTGCCAAAATTCAGAATTTCACGCTCTTCGAGGTAATATCCTTCCTTTGTCTCATCTTGTAAACTTGTCCTGATTCCTCTCACGTCCATCTCAAAGAGCTATCTCCCAGATTTGTGCTTCACGCTTTGCTTCCTCCGTCGGGTGTAAATATCGGCGTGGGCGTGTATTTGGTGACCGGCTGAGGCCAGAGAAAGTCGACGAGAGGTGTGGTCATTGACACGAGGATGTACTAGGTCGTACTTGTAGACTTGATGAAGCTTTTTTGAGAATCAGACTCTTTGGGAGTGAAATATTGACATGGTGGAGTAATTTGAATTTTTGCGTCGTGGGCCAATTTCTTTGATATTGCGAAATTTGACTGAACTTGGCTCTGGGAGAATATTTCACTCCCAGGTTCGTAGAGGACACCGCGTACAGGTGTTCAGTCTTGCACTCCTACACTTGTACTTGTAGCGCACATCTCCCACACTTTTATCTTTAATCCGAACATGACACTCTTTTGGTCAACTTCTACTTTCGTTCCATGAATATTGCGCCCATCCCATCGCACGATATTTCCAACACTATAAGCCTGCGATATTTTACTACATGCGGATAGAATCGTGACCTTGGTAAGTTGTCCTACTGAGAGCCCAATATGTTGAGCCCTTCTTGGTTTGGGGTAGATTTCCAGTGGAAGGATTGAGCATTCGTGATCAAGTACTCTACTGCTGGTGGAGTTAGATGCCCTAGTAACAAGCTTCAAGCATTTTCGTTGCATACTTTGTAGTGGTAACCTTGTTAAATAAACTAAAAATAGGTAGTTTCTTTCATGTAGATTCTCGAAGTCCTCCACACTCATTGACCCCGTTAGGACTATAATAAAATCCAATCTAATCCATTTCATGCCAGCGCATAGCACGCGAGCTCCTCACGCACCGGTTGGCCCAGTCGAAGTAAAAGTGTGGGTCCCGTGTCCCGTCACTTAGAGTCTCGCCCATTCTTAGACATAACACTTGTAGCTAGAAGTAGGGAATAGACAAAAAGAAAAAATGTACTTCATTGAAAGTCTTACTTCGAGTAACAATTGCAAGCGGTCGTTATACGACACATTTTATATAGTAGATACGAGACTTGAAGCCACAAAAGTGTCAGACGTGTCGTCGCCTACCCAGACTCAACAATGCAAGTAAAGTAAGGATCTTCGCATCCTGCTCTCGAAAACCATAGTACACATGAATGTCGTACTCCTGAAAAATCTCATGATTTACCGATGTTATTGAATGAAGTAAAAGTTGTACTTGCAAATGAAATCTGAGGCATGAGTGCTCTTCCCTTATGTTGAATCATCTATTCTGTACTTTTCTTTGATATTGTGTCATAGCTGGATAGCTGCATACGCAATTAAAATCTGATGCAAAAAAAAAAGAAGTAAAAGTTTAAAAATTAAACGAGAAAATCGGCTATATCAAATCGTGATTCCGTTCCAGTCAGACTTGTAGTTGTGCTCTCACGCATGAGTTTGTGGCACGCATCCAGCTATGAGATGCATGAATTCTCTCCGCTGAAGCAAGATCCCAAGATGTGCTAGATGTGACGCTCTGAATGAGCTCACAAGTCTAAACTAGATACTTAGATAGGCTTCGGCTCCATAGTTCTGTTATTATACCCTATTAGGCCAGTTGGCACTGTGGTAAAGCTATCTAACTTCAGGCGCATGTCTCCGCCGGCAAAGACGAATTCTCCACCTTCCAGTGGTGCCTGTATAATGACTCAGCATGTTCTACATATCTGGGCTAGCCAAGAAGAATCGCATCCAAATCGAAGTCGAAGGCAATCACAAGCGCATCTAAAATCGACGACTTCTCGTCTATTTCGGGCCTATCATTCTCACGTGAGTCCTCCACCTCAATCTTACTACACCACCTCGCCTCGAATACCGATAATGGCGTTACTCTGATTGTAATCTGGCGTTTGCCTCATCAAAACCCGGCCATCTCCCGCTAAACATTTACGATGCTATGTATACACGCGAGGAGGAAATTAAGTCATAATCTACAAAGCTCGGGTCTTAGTCTGTGGGGGGCCGTTGCTCTAATGGCGCTTCACATCTTGATTGAGGACAGGAAGCTGGGACGTGGGATGAACGAGTGAAGAGGTCACAAATGAGCATGCTAGGACGCACATTTTTCGAGTGTCAGTGGGCGCAGAGGCAACGATTTCGGATAGTGCTACCGACACTCTAAAAACAGGCAACGATTGAAGGTATTTTGGTCCGCCTCCTGGTCCTCATCTCCCCGAATTAAAATCTGGGTGGCCTGCACACCTACCTCACTCGAGAAAGGGAGGAATGTGAGGCCATATCTCGCGCGGCGGCTGTATACAAGATGACAAAGGCATGTTAGGGTAGCCAGAGGTTTTTCCTGTTTTTCTCTTGGTGAATATTAGCGGTTGAGGGAAGAGTCAAAATTCCCAGCACCAAGGTCTCGATTGGTATCAGCGAATGCACCCACTACAGGATTGGTCCCAATGTCAAACTGAATTATCGTCGTATATAGTCGTCGGGAAAGCTATTCTTATCCGTGTCATGCTATTTGAGTGCAGGGCTAGTGCCAGTCACAAATAAACCTTCATTCATTCAGGCGCATGTCTTCTGCGGGAGAAAGTGGTGCGTGCGTCACACTCGGAGTAAAATTGTGTGTTCTATGATGCTGTTTACGGAAGCTCTACTTAGTTTGCTGATTGTTTGCGTGAAATACCCCACACCCTTGGTATTTGACTACTGAACATCGTCTAATTATGGACATATGGAACCCTCATCTATGAGATTGTATAGCGTATTCATTCAAGGAACTACTGAAGTGAAAATAAGTTCATGATTTTTAGTCACGTGTATGTCAACAACGTGGCCTACCTGATAGCCCCGATTATCCTCAATCCTAACACGTTTTGTGTCACTCCATTACATTAGATATTCTTCGTGTACCGTACATCCTCACCCCTGTAACTCTACACTCTCCATATCCTCATAGGCTATCCATCACGTAAAGTCAAAGGCGCTGGCGGCGCCCGGGCGTCAGGGGAAGGACGAAGACCGGATACCCAGCACTGGATACCACCACGAAACGGCGCAATGATTTTCCCTGCGGATGTGGGGTCCGATCAGGAGGGCGATGCGAGAGTTAGCATCCGAGGTAGCGATTCAGGGATCTCCAGTTTTTGCGCCTCATCGCTTCCGACAAGTCATGAATCCAGCCCGGGATTGGTCCTGCGAATATCAACGCTCGTGCCACACCCGCTTTAATTACCGCCAATCTCATGCGCTCCATCTCTGGCGTACGTCCTGCATGCCAAATGTATGGTGGCCTGGCCCATATCAGACAGTGTATGTGTTTTTATTGTACTACTTGAGTCTATGACTATCTAGCACATTGGGCTCCTCTCTGACCCAGGCCACACCTTGTACAGTGCTCCTTGCCTCTTTGTTACTTGTAAGATCATCAATATATTGCCCTTGATGAATAGCCATTCAGCTCAGTGTTTATCCGTGGAATTCGGCCACCTTTTCTACGGAACCTTCTACCCAAAAAAAATAAAAATGGTAGCAATGGAAACTGCGTGCGCGGGAAAAGGTCTCAAAAAACCTGCAGCCCCAGCCAGGCGAGGCCTAGACACCGGGACCACATGAGGTGCGCATATTTATCTATATCTCCCTTCTTTGTAACAGTCGAGGCCGACTTGATAGAATTCTCAATCGCCACACCGGGTGCTGGGTGCGCTCCGAAAACTAATTGGATGGCTTTTTCTCCATGATAAAGGAGTAGCGATGAGCAGGGCTCCGACCCTACCATCTGATCTGATCGTGGTTAGCTTCATGATAATGGTGATAGGGGAATGTGTTGAGAGATGAAGACGATACAGACCGCGAAAGCGATTGGGAATCCTCGTCGGAGTGAGGACTTTGTTACTCAGTCTCGGCTCTGCAGACTCTACAGTGAGAGCTGGAGGTTTGTAGGGGACACCACTGACAGGTGTTGAAAGTAGTCCCCCCATATCAGACAGTAAAAATACCTCCTCCGACTCCGGTATTATTCGTCGCACACCTAGCCGCCCGCAGTGGATTTCGGCGCCATATGATAACTGTGAGGAAAGGCCGAGAAGGCCGGGCTTCTGTATGTCAAACTTCTTGATTATGCTCATGGGAATCTAGCATGACGTTTTCCAGGTTAACTCTGGCCCCATATAATACGATAGATGGGGATGAAAGTATCCTGGGGCAAGGCATATCTTTTGGTTTGAAACTTCCCCTGGGCCGCATCCAAGCACGGGTGATGCAGCCAAGTTAATCCTACAACACCGGCATCAGCATTGGCGTTGGCGTCGATTATCTAGTTGATTTGTTGAAATTTGTCAGCTACTGGTGAAGACCCATTCTCAATCTTCCTTCTACAAGAAAAATGATAGGAGTTATGGCAAACCTGAGATTCATTGAATGGTGTGACACCATCTTCTTCCGCACAATCAAAGACCTCATGGAGGATCGTTGCAACAGACTTTATCTAGTCGGTCATCGTGGGGTCTTTGCATCGTAGTATGTAAATTTAGCGGGAGTTTGAGCCACAAGGCCATCAATTGCACTCAATACCTCTCAATGACTGAAAGTGCAGAGCTTTTCTCCCCCAGTACCCTACCAACTCTGCCGGAGAATAGGCTTCCAGTTAAAATGCTAGGGGAAGCTGAGAGCCTTGACAGCCGGTAGAAAAGCTTCCGGAATTAGTAAAGGCGTTTATATCATCCCATTTCACGATAGAAGGGTTATTAGAAATAGAATTGAGAATTGCGAAAAAAACTCCGAGGTCATCCCGCTCAAACTCATCGGTTTGAGTCTTAATTTTTAGTGATTACTTTCGGATGTAGAAAATCTCATGTTTCTAGAGAGGCTATCGACGATTAACGGGACTATGGCCAGCTCTGGATCTATAATGGCATCCGATCGGATCTCCTAGGATTAATGACCATGTACTGATGAGCAAAACTGAAAGTTGGATCATATTGGGATTTGGAGCCCTAAGCATCTTTTCTCTGCTGTCAGCCGGACCAAGAGGCAAAGGATATGTCCGAGAATAATTTATTGACTCAAGTAGATATAGCTCAGATAATTCAAGGGATCTCCTAGACAAGTCATTTGAATATACCTCTGTCGCCAATGGGCCATATCTCGGCTATAATGTCGAGGACGAGGGTTGTCTCCAGCCGAGCATTTTCTGTGACGGAACAGCTCAATCCCACGAATGGCAGCACGTTTCGGCCTTTAAAATTTACGACCACCCCATATTTCTCTAGCAATAGCAGGAGATTAGCGAAGCACTTGATAATGGCGGCAAACTGGGGGTAAAAATCCCTAGCTACCTAGATCACCAAGAATTCCACCTCTGCATCTTAATTTGGGTCCGTACCCGAGAAAGTGGGACCTAACTCTGTAAACACTTGGCTGCTGCTTGTACATGTCCACTGTGACCTCTAGAGGTCTAGACAGGGCTGGGAACTAGCTATCTCATATCTCCTCTCTCACCAATGCAGGACAAGCAGAGAATGATGGTTGTGAAAGTGATAGCATGAATACCAACTGTTGCCTCGTTACATTCTAACCTCACTATCTATCTCGTGTGGGCTTCGAGCTCGTGCTCGGCGATGGGAAATATTGGTACACTGGAGCCCAACCCTTCCTTTTAACGGAGTCAGGCAGATGTTAGATATCGGAGGACCTGAAACCATCATGGGAAACTTTGACATGGACAAGAAAGTCCTTTCTATTCCCCGATCTACTAGGAATGTGTATGAGCCTAGAGTGAAGAAGTTATAGGGTAATCTTTCGAATCCTTCGACCCCCGACAGATTACAGGCATCTCTGCATGGGAAAGTTACGGTTTGTCAGGAGTGAAGCTGTAAAAGCTTCCGTTTCCAAGGTCCACATACCTCTTGACTTAATCGATAGAGATATTCTAGAGAGTGTATCATGGTGAACTTTCGCTCCTGACCATTTTAGATTCAATTCGCATCAACAGCTGCTCTACCATTCAGACATTCTCACCAAAACCATGCATCTCCGTTATCTTCTCGCCGTTGCTGCCTTTCTGTTAGACTCTGCTACATCTGAAAGATATGGTTATATGTGTCGTCCTGATACGCAACAATTTATTATGTTTGATCAGGAATCAGCCCAGCAAACTTTAACGGAATATTGCCCAAAGATACAGAGAGCAACAAACAGAGAATTGAATGACAACACTAGAAAAAATCGCAGTCCTGCCTACTTTGACCAAGTTGTCAAGCTCGGATATTCCGAATATTCAATAGTGGTGAGGGTTCCAGGCCCACGTAAGATACCATTTCTCTCAATAGTACCCCAAGTACCCCAAGTTATCCCAATTTACTCCATCATCTCCTCATACTTTTAGCGAGGAGATTTCTAGCAAGTAGGAGATTCTCTAGGATCATTTATTTTATACTTTTGCTTTCTGGAAATTAAATATGTACTAATTCTATATCAGACGGTCTCGGAACAGGATTCATCATCACGGACAGGAATTGTGCCTTTCGTACTATGCTCTACATGTTTACAAGAGGCCTACGAAGATGTTATTATGGAGCTCTTGATAATTTTCTTTACCAGATGGTAAAGGAACCGGAATACGCTCCTGTGGAGATTGATAATCCACACACGAACCCGGTTGCAAGTTCCTTATGGTGTGGTTCACACTCTAGCTCCAGTTGATGAAGAAGATGATAAATTGGATGATGCAGTTGCCCACAATGAGAGGGTAGATATAAATTTTCGGGATTGCATATATATTCAATGGCTCAAATATGCCGTGTCCCTCAGTAAAGATAGCAGCTATCGTTAACAATTTAGCTACAGCAATGACAAAAATCTCCATTTGAGTTACCTTGATTGCTTTTTGTACCATAGTGATAGGTGTTACGAGCTAGGCCCAGTTGAATTCTGGCCGGGCTGTGCATGAGTGTAGGGCCCATAATGTTTTGTGGGCGCAAGCCAGTCTTGTTGATGTTGTTTAATTCAAGATCCGGGTTAAAGTAAAAGCTCTACGTAGTACTATGGGTACGGGACTGGTGGAGCCGGCGGGGATCCCTGTGATATGTCCCCCAGCCCACTCATTCTAACCGCGTGAATCCTTACCAAAATTACAGCAGATTATAGCACGATCTCTCCCTCTGACATATGCGCCTACTCTGATGGGTAATCTGAAGGCCATGGACGATCCTCGTGGGGATATGTCCTCCAACGCGGAGGTCAAATATTCGCACGAGGTCACGGTCGTCTACATGGCGGTGAAGTTTATGATGCAGAAATTGTAGGAGCAGCAGTAGCACTTCGGGAAGCTATGCGCGCTCGAAAGAACCGTGAGAGAATCTTCGTTCTTCTTGACAATCAGGCAGCTGTACTTGCGCTTCGGACGGGGAATGTGACGGCTAGTAAGCCGGTAGATTGCCTGTAGCCTGTGATATTCATCTCATGCATACTTATTACCTCAGCGCTAAGATACGTTGGTATTAAGAGTCTGGTACTCCCCGTGCACGAAACATTGTTGGTAACTAGCCCACACTTTAATAGTGGGAGCCGGACTAGAGGACAGAGACTAGTGTTTGAAATATTGGAATCATGTATACAAATAGGGCGTTGAGGAGGGCAAGACTGAACACCTGTACGCGGTGTCCTCTACGAACCTGGGAGTGAAATATTCTCCCAGAGCCAAGTTCAGTCAAGTTTCGCAATATCAAAGAAGTTGGCCCACGAGGCAAAAATCCAAATTACTCATCCACTTCGTTATTTCGCTCCCAACGAGTTTGACCCCTATCTTCGTCTCATCGAGTCTACAAGTACGACCAAGTACATCCTCATTCCAATGACCACACCACTCTTCGACCTTCTCTGGCCTCAGCTGGTCACCAAATACACGCCCACGCCGATATTTATACCCGCCGGAGGATGCAAGGCGTGGCGCACAAATCTGGGAGACAGTTCTTTGGGATGGATGTGAGAGGGATCTGGACAAGTTGACAAGATGATGCGAAGGACGGATATAACCTCGAAGGGCATGAGATTCCGAATTTTGGCAAGGAGTTTTTCGAATTGGGCTTTGTGCGCGCCAAGACTTCGCTTGCGAGAGTGCAGCTGACACTATAAAAACAAGCAAACGATGGAAGGTGTTGTGGTCCGCCTCCTGGTGGTATTCTCTGGTAAAGTTTTAGTAGCCTGGGCACCTACTCCACTTGGGAAGGAGATATCTCAGATCATATTTCGCGCGGAGAAAAGTTGAAAGATGATGGAGGCATGTCTGGATAACTCAGGGTTTTTGAGACGTTCCCCTGGGTGGGTATTCACGGATGAGGGTTGACTTGGGGTGAAGAAAAAGCCACCATAACTTCGCAGTGGTACTTGCAAATGAAATCTGAGGCATGAGTGCTCTTCCTTAACGATGAATCATCTATTCTGTACTTTTCTTTGATATTGTGTCATAGCTAAATAGCTGCATACGCAATTAAAATCTGATGCAAAAAAAAAAAAAAAAAAAAAAAAATAGGGCGTTGAGTGTAGCAGTAGTCTTGTTCTTCAGTTAGTAAATAAACTTACCTTTCGACATATGAACGCCCAAGCTTTATTTATCGGAACTGTTACAGGGAAGTCATCATCGTCGCTGCAGACAACGCAGGCATACATACGCCGTTTGATGCACAATCGCCGACAGAAACTAGTGGAAGACTAGTGGATTAAGTCGGGTCCGGACAGATATCGAGACCTGGACTTACAGATGCGACGTCGGAAACCACCAGAACTAGGTCTTTCTCGACGATTACTCCATAAGCTCCTGGCAGCAAGATCAGGACATGGAGACTATGCGGATTATCACCGCCGCCTGAACCACGAAGACGCGAAACTGGAATGCGTCTGTGGACAAAGGACAACGCCAACTCATTTTGTCCGATGCAGGAAGAATGCTGCTATAATGCGCAGGTTGAGAAGATCCATGACCGTGGAGGACTATACCAACCAACTACTTGGACCAGAGGGTCTCGAGAAGTTCATAGATTTTGCAAGGAATACCGGCTGCTTTTGGAGCATGGATGCAGACCCGCCCTCAGTTGGATGCAAGGGCCGGAGTGATTATTTTGTTAGGACGAGAGAAATGACTAAGGGGGGCATAGGATGAGAAATACTTGCACCGCTCCTACATGTTAATTTGCTTTATTTCAGTTGGTTTTGGTCGCTATTTCTTTTGGGGTTTGGTTGTTTGTAATCAGTGTCACATAGTGACTTTGTGGTGGGAACGAGTAGGGCATAGCTGTTTAGGATAATCCTTACCGAGCCCACCAGTCCCGTGCCATAAGGAGCTGAGCTGTTACCCGGGACCTCAAATAAATCAATCAATCACCCAATTTTTGGGAGAATTCGAATTTTCGAATCTTCACTTTTTCCACCTCTCCCTCCCTCTCGCGCTCGTCGCATTCGTACAATAAATTGTCATCGAGTCGCTGGCATCTTAACCATGCCACCTGTTCGTAAAAAGCGTCCCAATGCCAAGTTGGACAACACGAGAGTCCGCCCGAGGGCTCTCGAACAAGTACCTGGCCTTGCCCAGTCTCCGAAATGCGCGGATATGAGCAAGGTCTCCATCAAAGGGAAGGAAAAAGCCCTCCCCGCCGTTGCTGAACCCGATACTGACATGATCGGGTCAGTTGAAACTGTTGAGGAAATTCCTCAACCACCCTCCGTCCCCCACGGGATTGGAGAATCGTTAAAATCTCCTCCGACCGCATCAAAACCGTCGGAAAACGCTGCACCTATATCAGCGCCAAAATCAACGTCGCAGCCCAAAGCTGCCACGAAAGCAGAGTGTCCCATAGAGCTTCGACCAATTGTCGAAGCTGAACAATGACGCGCCGCCATCTCTGGCCTCGAAGCCACCCTCCTCCCTTTGGCCAACGGGTCAAATAGACAATTCGTAGACTCGATGAGAGTCTACTTACGCGCCGCCATTGCGCAATACATGGCCACGGGCCCGGCTATCACGCCACCCGACCTCCCTCCTCGCCCTGCGAACCCGACCTCAAGGGCTCCAGAAGCCAGGAGCAATACAACTCCCGCCGTCCCACTGCCGCCTGTAAAAAGCACCTGGGCCACGGTGGCCAAAAATGGACTGCGACAAAATGCAGCTCCTATAGCAAAGGCTGTACCGCGACCTGCGGCGAGAGCCCAAAAGAAAGAAGCTCCCAAGGTGAAAGTCGATAAGCGACTGTTCCTTCGCCTGGGAAAGGAGCACCCATGGCGGAATCTCTCAAACCACACTGTGAAAAGTAAGGTAGCGGACACGCTTAATCTCTCTTACAATGATATAACCTCGATTCATCGAGTAAATACCGGCTTTGCTATTATACCAAAGAACGAAAAAATACGACAAGAGGTCCTAGATGTCTCTCCAAAGCTGGCAAGTGAAAACGCCAAACTCGAAGCATCTTCGGATCTTGTTGCCTTACAGATACCGAACGTACCTGTAAGTATTGTTTCACAGTACGGCCCCGTAGCGACCAATGCTGCAAGTGTCACCGCTGAGATCTTCCTTACGACCAGCGCAAATCCAATCCAGGTCCGACCTCATGGGAAATGTCGGCCTGGATCACCTTATTGAAACTGGCATGCCATTTTTCACCAGGACGAAGCCTCTCGTGCGGGCTTCCGCCTTTTCGACGATTCGGGTATGGCTACCATCCACAAGCCTCGTCGATCAATTGAACAATGCAAACGCTGTTTCGGCTTCCACGCCACTTGTGGTTGCTCCCGCGCTCCGGCTTGCTGGAATTGCGGATCAAATATGCACTTCGAAACAGAGTGCAAGGCCCTCACACGCTGTCGCAACTGTGGGGGATCTCACCGATCGGATTCTCGGGCCTGCCAAGTCAGACCAAAAAAATCCGGACCAGTGACCAAAGAGCAGCTCGCGTGGATTCGCCACATCGAACAAGGGGAGTTCGCAAAGGTGGCACAAGCCAGGGCTGCAGCAAAAAAGGCCGAAGAGGCGATCATAGCTGCTGCGAAGGACGTCTCAATGGCCGAGGCAACAGGTTTCGGAGCTCTGGAAGCTGAAGAAGAAGTTTGAGGACACAGCAACCTCGACAATGTCCTCTTTCGGGGCATCTACTAACCAATAGCAGGATTCCGGTTGGATCAAAGGTGCCTGCTAACTCATCTCTTGCTCTCAGCAGAGATTGAATAAATTTTGTCATTTGGAAGGTGTGACAGACAAGGGAATGTGTGAGGAGCGCATTTACTGGGTCTTACATGGAGGAATCTTCTGTTCTTTTCGGAGCTGTTTTGATTTTCTTGATTTTTCGTTTTTGCTTAATCAGCTGCACTTTTGGTAGCAATTCACGAGGTTGGAACAAGTTAGGCTGTAGGAGAAGTTACAGGGAACCCTGCCGGATCCGCTGGTCCTTGACCCAATGTGGCAAAGATAGCGTCAGCTTAGGACCAAAACTTAAAAAAAAAAAAAACAATCAATTTTTGGGAGAATTTGATGAAAATTTGCCCCATCAGCCCGTTTCACCCCGTAAATTCACCTCTCGACTATCTACTCATCAATCTTCCGTGGTACTGTGCCACTCAGCCTTAAAATGGCACTGGTACCCCCAAAATCCGCGAAACCTGCGAAAATTGTGTTAACCACAAAAGTAGTAAAGCACAACCACCAGACGCATCTG